ACATTACAAACTAGCTGCACGTGAAACTGTCCTGCTTATTTGGGTCAACATATCGCTGTGAATCAGCATTCTCTGATATGAACTTTATCAAATCCAAATTCAGGACAAGACTTACTGATGAACACCTCAATGACTCAATCAGAGTGAATTTGTCAGGATACACACCCCAGTACAGTGCTCTGGTGGATGCTATGCAGTGCCAGGTGTCACATTAGCTGAGTCAGGAGAAAGACAACAATGCAGTGACAGACTGAATGTTTGAAGACATATGTTTGCTTGATGCAAGTTGAGAAAAGCACAAGCCATATTCCCCTTTTACATGTGAAACAAATTTGTGAAATGCTTGAAATAATTTAAATTATAGAGCTAGAAATGTTATTATTACAATTAGGAACTTTGCACTCTTATCTGTAAAACTGTTTACTGTAGTTATTGATGTTAAAGCAGAACTCAGTATTGCATGGTGATTATTTGTCTTTTTTTCTCTTCATGAGAAAGTCAAGTTTATTCATGTTAATGTTAATGTTTCTGCTCTTGAGTCACGAATGTGATATGTGCACTGAAATCTATATAAAATAACATGAGTAGCTCTTGGCCACTTTCTTTTTTCAAAAGTAGCTCCCGGTTAGAAAAAGGTTGGAGACCCCTGCTTTAGACCTACATTAAATGTAACTCCAGAATCTTCCTACCTTTTTTTTGACCTTTCATTCACATTCCACAGTCTTCCCGAGGTGATGGCAATTCCTATGTTTCTGAACATTCTCAATGACCACTGACCACTGAGATTTTGTTAGAAGCCCCTGTAAAAGCTAGTGCACAATAGGTTAAGAAATGGATGGTTAAACTGCTGTTTCAGGTCAATAATAACATTTCACACTGAACCCTTGTCATAGTTTTTAATTCACAATTTCTTAAAATGTAACAAAGAAAATACTTTTGATGTTTCTTACATTTCACAGTCTATTATTAAAGTAAAGACACATTTCATGTGTACATTTGGATTGGCACTTTGTTTCAGGCATCAATCCATTTAATCCTGAATTTGTTTTTGTTAACTTGTAAGTACCTTTTGTTCTTTCATTGTTTTGCCTTTGGTCTGTTAGGGTTAGACATACACCCTAATATCCAATTTGCACTTCTCCAAACAAGTAAATGTAGCTTTCTATCCACATGTGAACATTTTGGAATCTGAGATTTATGGAACATGTTTGTTCAGTTTGAAAACATCTGAAGCTGCAGCAGCGATGTGTCGCACACACAGCTGGGTGTAATCCAACACGGCCGTACAACATTTCAGGGCTGGTTTAAGACAAAACGTGTATGGCTGTAATAATGAATTAGGGTTACGAAGAGTGATTGATGGCCATATCATGAACAAGGCCATGGCTAATGTCAACCAAGCCCCTACAACATTCCCTGTGCAGTGTGAACACCTGCACTCTAACCTCTTAGAAAACGCAATAAAAGAAAAGTCAAGGAAAGGAGAAGTGCTCTTAAACTGGGCATGAGTGGGGAAAACTATTCCCATGTGCAAACATTCCTTTACATTTCACTAGGTTTATGGGCTCCATGAAAGAAGGTACGTCATTGAATTGTTACATTTTCTATAAAATTGCTGGTGAAAAATATGCAACAAACATAAATACAAAAGAACCACTATATACAAATAAGGTTTTGGTCTCTTATTAAACATTCAACACAGTGATTTTCAAATGGCTGCTTCCCAGCATTATAATGGGACTGCAGAATGTCTTATCTCTTGAAGGGATATTTGATTACAGTCTATTTCACCCATTTTTTATGCGAGCTAGCAATGCATTTTGATCCCTTTAACACAGTTGACAGTACAAGTTATCTACAGTGATATGCTATTGTAAAAACTGAGCCTGAGGATTTTGCATATTTGAAACCTCATGGTAAAATTTTGCTCTCACAATAAGGTCGAATGGCATCAGTTCTGGATCTGGCTCAAGTGTGACATTTTGAAAATGAATACATGTCTACCCACATTATTCTCTGATATCAGTGTTTTTCCGCTTCAATCCATTGATATTTAAAAGTAAAATCCAAATGTGTTCAAAGAGTGGGCAGTTCAACAGTCAGCTTGTCCCAGTTCCATTATTCACTCCTGCTTACCTTTGAAGCAGAGTCTGTTTATGTAAATGTCACTTTCTCTGTTCTCTCTTTAAACGTGGGTCTTGACCCCTGCTGAGAGGTTAGGAGCTCCTTGTTTATCGTGAGCCCCAGAGATCCAGTGGTAGCAGTCAGTGGCGTTCTTGCTGCGGGAATGAACAGCACAGCGGGTGCAGTAGACGATGCCCAGGGCCACCATCACTACGAAGAAGATGCAGATGGGTACCAGGAGCCCCACCAGGAGCCAGGTGCTGCTCTCCTTCTGCCCCCGCTCTTCCTGGACAGAAACCGTGACGTCAAAGATCTCGCTTGGGTTGGTTGGCTGGGAAGGAGTCGGCTGTGTGGGAACATTTTGGGTTGTGACCTCCACTAATTCCTTCTCCTCCTCCTCCTCCTCCTCCTCCTCCTCCTCCTCCTCATAATCCTCCTCTGGGGAGGTTTCCCTAAGGTGGTACTGCTCTTCTTCTTCTTTCGCATTGTGGAAGCCAGAATCCGGAGGCATGTTGAGGTCAATGACAGAATGTTCTGTACTTTCTGGTTTCTGGCTGGAAGTGGCCCACCAATTCCCCGCTCCCTCAGAGATTGTTGAGGTGGAAAGGAAGGGGAGAGCCGTGGTGGTCTCCTCCTCGTCATCATCGTACCAGTCTGGGGTAGGGCTGGACTTTGTGGGAGGGGGAGGCGCTGTGTAGATTGTGGTCGGCAAAATGTCCAGGTAAGACCCAGGTCTCTGCCCCCACTGTCCCCTGTCCGCTTCTCCATCGTCAAACTCTTTCTCAGCCTGCTTTGTTGGAGTGACCAGGGCTAAATCAAAGAGCATTTCTTCCTGGGGGGCGCTGGTGACCCATATGACATCAGGATCCAAAACTCTGGGTGGGTCGGTCAGCCAGTCCAGAGCCTGCTCGTCCTCTGGAGGCCAGTCAGTGTGGCCCTGCTGTGGGTTCCGGTCGTAGTCCACAGGGTCCCATAGAGGTCCAGGCTGGTTGGTCACCCAAGCAAAGGGAGGGGTGACAGCAGCTTCTTCATCTCCTTGTCCTATCTTGCGACATGAGAAGTGATTAGACATGAGTTCGTAGCCTTCCTCGCAGTAGCATTCAAATTCGCCCTCGTAATTCACACACATCTGCTCGCAGGTCCCGGGGATCTGGCACTCGTCAGTGTCTTGGCATTTGCTTGGGTCCTCGGGCATGAGGGAATAACCCAGATGGCAGTGGCAGATATGAGAGCCCAGAGTGTTCTCACAGGCATGTTCACATGGATCATTTATACACTCATCTATATCCTCACACCCGCCGTCTTCATCAGGATGGTATCCCTCCCGACATCTACATTCGAATGTCCCTGGAACGTTCATGCAAATCTGCTCGCAAGGACTCTGGAGGCACTCGTCTACATCCAGACAGCTGCGATCATCTGCTGCAAGCATGTACCCTTCAGGGCAGGCACAACGGTACCCATCTGAGAGGGGCAGGCACTCAAACTCACAGGGGGCCCCTTGACAGACATCAGACGGCTCACAGTTCTGCCCATTGTCCCCCAGTTGATATCCATCAGCACACTCGCAGAAGAAGTGAACACCGGCCGGCCTGCAGAAATGCTCACATCCACCGTTATTCTGGTCACACCAGTTGTATGTTTCGTGGGGATCGGAGCAGAGGGGGGAATCTCTAGACCACCCCACTGAGCCATCTTCCTTCAGCATACACAACACTGACTGTTCCTCCTTGGTGCCAGCAGGGCAGGGCACGGTAGCAACAGATCCAAAGGGAATATGGGTTAGCAGTGTGCTTAGGAGGTTAAACGGTGTGGTGTAGAGGGCATTGCCTGTTCCTTCACCCGACAAGGCAGGGCACATTTCTTTGTAGCCATAATGGCAAAGATACCCATCCACAGAGACTGAGCAGGAACCATCCAGCCATTTGAAGTTATCACTCTGCTCCTGAGTGCTGTAGCCCATCACCACACAGCGTGGCACCGAGCACATACTAGGGGAGTCCTCTTTCTGCCAGTTGGTATAGTCCGTGTCGTGGTCACCGGTAGTCCAAGAGAAACCCCGCAGTGGGCGTGTGGAGGAACACTGGCGAGGCTGGCGCTGAAGGCCAATCCATACCTGGACGCTGGTGCGGGAGTGGCGCAAATCCAGACTGGAGAAGAGAGTGGCGATATCGTTGGCATCCTGCCTGCGTTTAATGGTAGCTAGGTTGCCACCTTTCACCTTGCAGGCCCTCCATGAGTCCAGGAAGGTCTTGCGTTGGAAGTAGACCACAAAGCAGCCGTCTGCATTGCACAAAGCATCCCTCTCACTCAAATCCTGAGATAAGACCAAAGAAAGTCCAAAGAGCAAAGTGAGCAGGAACGTGAAGAGAAGAGCAGAAGCACCGCTCACCAGGGAGCCCATTCTCTTTAGAACTCACACGCTCCACTCTCCGCCTGTCTCTCAGCCTCACTTTCTTCACACTTTTATTCCCTGCTTTTCAAAGTCTCTTTTAGCTGTATCTTTTTTTCTTGACCCACTTTAGCTGTCTATCTGAACTTTTCTTTCTTCATTTAAACCCTGTTTCTTTTTTCCCCGTCTTGCTGTGCTCTTTACTCCACCGTGCTGAAACAGATCTGTGCTGGGGCTGTGTGCATGCAGATTGTCCCAGAGAGCAGGGAGGGAGGGGAGAACGAGAGGGAGGGGGATATAGGGTGAGCATGGGAGTAAGGGAGGAAAATAACTGTATGTTTTTGGAAGGGGGGGCCTACGTGGATGTGTGTCAGAATGGGGGGAGGTGCAGAGCATGTCATATGGTTTTCATAAGCCCTGTTAACGGACATAGTTTGGTACTCTGCCATTATACACACACACACACACACACACACACACACACACACACACACACACACACACACACACACACACACACACATTCATATGCATGAAATTGTGGTACTTGAAATAGATTTTCTTTTCTCCAAATGAGCGTGAATAACCACCCGGACAGATTTCCAGCATTGAATCAATTATCTTCTATCTCTTCTTCTCTAGCCTCTGGAAAGCATTTCTTATTATTCATGAAAAGCTTGGACTCCAGCATCTGTCTATTTTCACACATCTGGCACCCTTCCTTAACAACACAACACTTTGCCAGAATGAAGATACTGGTCCCTGCAGCTACATTAAAGACAACAACGCTTTTATTTAGTCCCAGATTGGGATGGGGAAGTAGAGCAAGTTGTCAAGGTCACCGGCGTGGAGGAAGAGGGCCTCTGGTTGACTGTGAAAACAAAGCTGTTTTGCTGTGAAATGGAGACTTATGTTTCTAAACGGGGAATGTTGGGAGGCAAGAGTGTGTGTGTCTGGGAGAGGAGGTTAAGGAATGGGGGGATTTGGGATGTGGGGGCAGTAGCAGGAGTGGGTAATACATCTGGCTGGCTGTATGAGAGCCGATATTGTGTAGTAGGCACCTCACTGTTAGAGCAGTGTAAAATTAAAGAGCACCTGAAGCTACAGTAGCCTACAGTCAGTGCCCTCGGGTACGTAGGACATTTAAACACAATTTCCTGTTCTGTGCTTCTGCATTAAAAGCATAATGGGTTCTGAAAGCTGGCATTGCATTTTGGCTGACTTCAAGTTCTGACTCCAGTAATTGTTTTTGATTTAAGAAAGGACTCGAGCTAAAAAATTGTAGCATTAACTTTGCAAAACCGATGTGTTATATTAAGTTGTTGTGTATGGGGGGGTCTACCAGCAGCCTGAAGAAGAAGAAGAAGAAGAAGAAGAAGAAGTGGCATGCACGCTTATTAATAATTGAGCATCCAATAATAACTACACATTCTAAGTATAAAAAGATAAGTAGCAGCATTATGAAGTGAATAATTACTATAATTACTAGTATGTAAGTATACATGTATATATTGCACAGTGTTATATTACAGGTGTTGGGTAGTGCAAAACTAATAAGCAGCCAATAGCAGCATTAACATCGTATATATATATATATATTGTAAGACCGATGTATTATAGTCTAAGTTGTTGTGTGTGTGATGGTGTGTACCAGCAGCCTGTCGCTGAAGGAGCTTGAAGATGAAGATGATGAAGAAGAAGACTCTTTATTAATCCCACAATGGGAAATTAAATGTATTAAACATTAAAGAGACTTTAGAAATAATTTAATGAAAACTGAAACCGCAGAGTCCAAAAAACCCTTACTTTTTGTCCATAGTGTCAGCCAACTTCCTAAAATTCTGAAACCTACATGTCCCATAATGCAACCACATAAAGTTGATTAATTAGATTCACTGCCTGGTAAATGCACACATCTTTCAAATGTAACGCCCATAAATGTGTAGCACAAGCTCTCAGTCATAAATCAGTTGAAATGTTTTTTCTGACTTGACAAAGCTCTTCTAAAGCCACAGATGATATTAAACAGCTGTTTTCACAAATGATGAAGACCAGGTGGAGCCCATTTAAAACATGATTTAATTTATTTTGTATTCAGGCAAATTCTTTAACAGCTCTTTGCGGTAACACAACATTAAATGTTAAAAGCAATTGGGTAGATAATATTGTTTTGTGTTCATACTGGAGCTGTGCGTACCATTTCATATGAAAAATAAAAGTGATTGATTGAATTATGTTTAATGTGCAAGTAGTCACCAGCTCTTTAATCTGTTCTGTGAGCGTGTGTTGAGGCTGTGCCACTGGTGTGAGTGGGATTTTAATACATTGGAAATGGGTTGAAACTGTGTTTTATTCAGAGACTGGGCAGGTACGGTGGCTGACAAGTGCAAACGTGCTGCATCAGCTCAAAACATTTACATTAGGAAAAAACACACCGCAAAAAAAATAAATGTGAATATTAAAACACAAATGTTCCAAAACACATGCAAATGAAGAAACAGCTTCAGCAACTTGACGAAACTTTCGCAGCGTTTACAAAAAGTGCTGCAAAAACGAATCGTTGCAAATAACAAAACGCTGGAATAACCCCACTGTGAATACAAAACACTACAACACACAAGTACCGGCCTGTACAGTGGGGTTAGGCGGTCATTTTGCAGCTCGTGGTATACAAATAGACAAGGGCCAGAATATTCATGTGAAAATAGTGCCATATTCTGCCATGCCTGTAGAAATTTTGGGTCAAAAATAATGCATACAATAGCACAGATGCCTTCACCACGAATGGCTACAAAGCTATCTCATATCCCAAGCTTATCAACGAGCTGAAATGTTCATGTTCATGTGCTACATGGTTTTAATAATACTTTTGCTTTTCAATGTTTGCCATTTCAAACCATGAGCTGGTTTAAATAATATTTGCCTTGATTTACAATATGTTCTCATTTGTTTTATCAGTGCAGCTTTGAAGCTTTTGTGCTTTTCTT